ATGTTATTATTGTGTGGTGTTTTGTTTTGTTATTTTCACTAATTTTAGTTTATTATTGTTATTTTTTTAATATCATTTAAATTAGTTTAATTTTATTTTACTTTCACATTTTTATTATTATTTTTTTTTCAAATTATTATTGTATTTTAATTTATTTTCAAATTCTTATTATTTTTTTTTTTAGTTTTAGTTTATTTTCACATTGTTTTTTTTTTTAAATTCATTTTGATTACCTTTATTTTATTTATGTTTTAGTTTATTTTCACATTATTAGTTTTTTATATTTTATTTAAATTTATTTATTTTAATTATATTTTACTTTATTTCCACATTTTTATAATTTTTTTCTTTTAGTTTATTTTATATTTTTTTGTTTTAGTTAAATTGATATTAAAAAATAATAAAGTAAGAAAAATTAAAATAAAATATAATAACTGTGAAAATATATTATATTTTATTTTAATTTATTCTTACTTTATTATTTTTTAATATCATTTAAATTAGTTTTATTTTATTTTACTTTCACACTTTTATTATTATTATTTTATTATTTTTTTCACATTATTATTATATTTCAGTTTATTTTCAAATTTTTATTATTCTTTTTAATTTTAGTTTATTTTTACATTATATTTTTTATATTTCAGCTCATTTTCATATTTTTTTTATTTTAGTTTATTTTCACATTATTAATTTTTTAAAATTAATTTAAATTAGTTTTAATTTATTTATATTTTAATTATATTTTACTTTATTTTCACATTTTTATAATTTTTTTGTTTATTTTCCCAATTATTATATTTTATTTTAATTTATTCTTACATTATCATTTTTTAATATCATCATTTTTTAATATCAACAAGTTATTACTATTATTTAGTTTATTTTCAAATTTTTATTATTTTTTTTTTAATTTTATTTTTCTTTTACATTATATTTTTTATATTTCAGCTCATTTTCACATTTTTTATTTTAGTTTATTTTCACATTATTATTGTTTTCAATTCATTCAAATTAGTTTTATTTTATTTAATTTTCACATTTTTATTACTTTTTTATTTTTTTCACATTATTATTATTTTTTTATTTAAATAATGTTATTTGCATATTTATGCACATTCCATTGAATACTCAACCAACTATTTAGATATTCACATATATTCCCCTGAGCTGAGTATTCATTCTTTCAACAAATCCATCCACGTCATACGTGCTACGTCAGGCGCCTACGATATATGTATGTACATACCAAATAATCAATGCATCTACTATTAACAGCCTAATTACAACCATATCATCATTCTTCTGCTTTGTTTTTATCAGCTACTTGAAAACGCCTCTGCAACACTGCAAATCCATTTTCTTATACCTACTTATATGGCAATGTGTATATGTATATGTATATTTATATTTATATGTATAGTAAATTTTAGTCATCAGCGCTGGTAATTGCTGACATCTTCAAGATCACAATTTGCCAACACAACAGTGTTGTGTGTACGGCTGCCACAGTGTCAGGCGAAGAGTGAATGCCACATGCCGTTTGTTATGACCGTACGTACGAGTATACACATACACACATGCGCAAATGCAAGTATTTACAAACGTGCCAACAATTAATCCTTTGTTTAGGTAGTAATTTCACATGCAACCCACACATACTATCAAATATTTGTATGGAAATGTAGCGAGTAGGCAACTTATATGTCCTCCTCCTCCTCCTGCTTCCCTTCCCCCCTGTGCCATTAGTACTTTTCGGTATGGTTTTGTGCTTCTGTTTCATACACTTTGCCACCTCAACACTTTTATCTTTCTGACATTAACTAGTTACAGATTCTACTTTACAAATTACAAGCCCACATAAACATACATACACTTACCCATACTTATCGGGTATACTCGTATGGGAACAAATGTGTTGCTAATCAACTACAGTTACACAAGTGTTTATACTCGAGCAATGTTTGTGCGGTATTTTTTATGGTACTTGGTCATTCGAAAAGGGGTAAAATATTGTAATCATTATCTAATGAGTATTTCCAAGTAGCCATACAAATATACGTATGTACATTTATGGTATGTAAATATGTATGTTTGTTTGCTGCTATTTGATTGATGTGCGGTCAATTTATTGTGTTAATTATATGGTGAGATGAGTGATTTATTGATCAAAGAAGATCTGACTCCTTGTAAATATGATGCAAAATGGAATAAAGAAAATAATTCATTGATTTATGCGAGTAAAAATCAAGTATGTATGAAGACAAGTGAGAAGAGTTCCTCTGATCAGGGTTTAATGGTTCGGTTCGTCGTATCTCATTCTGTATGCTTAATTATATTTTCTGAGTTTTTATGAGATGATCATTTCTATATAAAGGAAGCATTTTGAAATCCACTGTTAAGATCTTTAAAAAGTAGTAAAGTAAGAATACCAAAACTCTCTATGAATTTGCTGTGGCACCCCTGACAATCTAGAACTATTAAGTTTCGTAGCTTGCTGTAAGGCCTGGGCTTACTTATAAGGTATTAATTCGCTACTTGTATGTGTGCAAAAAATTAAAAAATTTACCATTCAAAAGTATCGTATCATATCGGATGCAACTACCTTTTCTCAACTCTCTGATAATTTTTATATTTAATTTGTAAGAAAAGCGCCCTGTCTGCTCTCGATCCAATTATTGAGACCCTTTCAATTTCTTGAAAAGACCCAAACTGGGGACCCTCAGCTCTTTTGAATCCAACGAAGAAGCCAGTAGTCGGAAAGAACAATGCCTGGAGTATATGGCGGGTGGAGTAAAACCTTCCATTTCAGCGTTACAGGTAGTTTTCAATCGTTACAACCATGTGAGGTCAACAGTGTTCATATTACAAAATAACCTGGTCCTGCCTTTCGGTCGTTTCTGGTCGCTTTTCAAGCAATGAATGGCTCAAATGCATTAACTGCTGTGGATAACGTTTTGTGTCAAAGGTTTCGTCTGGCTTGAGCAGCATCGCCCGACTGGTACCACCATATGTAGAGCCATGATCTTTGAATCTTGGTCGCTTTTCATTGCCGTCGACGTAGACTATGATGGAACCAAGTTTCACCAGGCTTGGTATACTATTTCTTCTTCTTTAGGTTATCGTATTTTATCTACTTTTCAACTCCAATCACGAACCGGTGCATAAATCTCTTCTTTTGTAGTCTTTTAAGAAGCAGTTTCTAGGTGAAAAATCCCCTTTCGACTTTACTCGGCTTCAACTCGTACGGCACCCGATATCCTTGCATTTGAATAGATCCAAGTTGCTTTAATCGCACCGAAATTATTTGCTGAGCTTCAACTAATGATTCTGCGACTTCGGTTTGCATTTGTAAAGCCTCTAAGTCGTCATCTTTTTTACTTTTTGAATTGGCCAGGACACTCTCGGTCTGTGACGCTAAAATCAATAGTTTTGAAGCTTCGAATCCACTCTCTACATAACTCGACGCAGATTCGCCAAAAACTTGCACAGGCCTTTGATGAGCTTCAAGCCTTCAAAACTCTCCCCAAATGCTTATTATTTTTAACAAATCTGGATATTTTCAAAGCAGCAAGAAAATGTTTTTGTCAGAAACAGACTAATTATTTTCGACAGACAGATCTGAAAACTCTCTAACGAAAGAGATAATCGAAAATTGGGTATAACTTGTAGGTGGAAGTATCTTTTGAGAACAGTGGAGGCTCGCTCTAAAATATAAAATATTTCATACAAACTATTTGCTGTCTTAAGAATATATATTTGAGAAAAGGAATTTCTGAAATTTTCCAATGGAAAACTCTCATAACTTCGCCATTATGACGTCATTGCCGGTAACTTCTCGGAGAAAAGTTATCGACCACGTTGACAGTAGAACTCATGGCTCCATCAACCGAAATGAGAAACAAAAAACAAAAAAAATGGTTTAAATAATACTCTAAACCAAAACTTGGATAAAGAAAAATAAAAAAAGTTATAATCGAATTTTTGGCATAATTTTTTTTAACGGGATTTTGAATAAAAAAAATCGATTTTTTTTCGCAAAGCATTAGAGCCATATATTTGTAGAGTATGTGTTTAAAGAGATTTTGCTACACGATGATTATTTTTGAAATGACAGCTTCCCGACCCAATCATTGAGCCACTGTTAGATTTCTTCAAAAGTTCCGAATTGGTGACCCCCAAATCGCGTTTTTCTCGAAACCATGTTTTCCGATCTAACTTCAAGCGCCGGGCTTGGTCCTTCCGTCCGATTTCTTTTATCTAAAAACTGTTTCAAAGTATATAGTCTCTTGCACGCCTTGCACCCAAGACTAGCATTAATTAATTAATTATAAGCAATGAGCATTATGCCATAAATTTATCGTTAAAATTGTTTCAATTGAGGTTCAGGACGCGGAAAATTTCATGAACTTCAAGTAATGACAATGATTTTTGATTTCAGCCTACTTCAAGCGGCCGACGGAAAGCGCCATTTTCGACTATTTTTGCCGTTTTAAAATATAAAAAATAATGACAAATTTACTAGTCAAAACTTTAAGCTTGTACGCCTTTTCATTCTCCCACAAAAATACAACTTTGCCTGATTTTTGCCCAATGTCAGTGGATGGGCCCCTTAAATAATTGAAAACTATTCAGTTCCTCGTGATATGTGTCTTGGAAACCTGCGTAAAATTTCATCAAGATCGGACAACCGACTTTGAAAGCACAGCTTCGAGCAAAACGCGTTTAAATTTTAAAATGGCAAGCTGAGCTTTTCACCGTGCATGTTCCCAAGGCTGTATCTACGAAACTTTTATCCGGATCGACTTGAAAATTTCAGATAATATTCTCCAGATATTTTAAAAATTAAGAAGATAATGAGAAACGATTCGAATTTCTTGCAGCTGTGAAACTCATATATTATGACGCCTTATATAATTTCAAAAAAAAAAAAAATTAATGAAAAAATAAGTATTATTTTTATCATTCTTATAAAATTATCTTTGTTTTTTGTTTTCCAGGCGCTGGTGAATCGGGTAAAAGCACAATAGTCAAACAAATGAAAATTATTCACGAAAGTGGATTTACCCCAGAGGATTTTAAACAATATCGGCCGGTTGTCTACAGCAACACAATACAATCATTAGTTGCCATACTTAGAGCAATGCCAAACCTCAGTATTCAGTACAGCAATAATGAGCGAGAAGTAAGTACTTACATATCTATCTACATAATATATGTATGTACTTTATATACAATACTAAAAATATGCATATCGGAAACACATTTTTAAGTAAATATACATATATATACACCGTAAAAAAAGTAAGCAAAAATCATTTGGAAACACTTCGAAGCCACGAAACCAACTTTGCTGGGAAACATATTCTCTCTTCCTGAATTTATTCGCTTGGAAGAATAGTCGTAAGAAATGAAACAATACTTTGCTATTGCAAAGTATTTCCGCGAAATGCAGAGCTAAATGTCCTTCTTCATAGAGATTATGCCTCTAAAAAATTTCTTGAAAAATATGGCTTTAAGAAGAGGTAAAAGCATTTATTTCCAATAAAGTCATTCCAATCTGTCTTCCAGTGGAATGCATTACAGTAAGGCATCTCTTTTTCTTTGTACGAATATTATCCAGCATAAATACAAATGCGAGAAGACTCGTAAATGTAAGCAGGGCCGTAGCGAATTACAATAGATAAGAAAAGCGAGGTAGCCAGGCTAAGGAAATTGCTATCCAAGAACCCGACTACTCCGAGGTTACTACAGAAAAAATGTGAAGAGTGGATTGAAGGTAGTGAGGATTGATTGGAACCCATTTTCCGGAGTGTAAAGACAGCATACTTTTAGTGCCTTTAGGAAATAGCATGGAAGACGTCCCCCCGTACATAATAACGGTAGAAAAAATGTGATGGGCAATGGATATCTTGGAACAATCGGTATGTTTCCAGCCATGATGCAAAACATTTCCGCAGGGCTGGCACCATATTTAAGAACAATTTATGAGAGATGATGCTTAAGGTCGAACTTTGTTTCTATCTTTTTGAGAAAGGTGAGAGTCGCATTCGTACCAAACATTATTCTTTCCAAAGCATCTCAAAGAGATTCTGGACGCCTTTCAATTAGGGATAAACTGCCATTTGTCAGCATTTCAAAGCATGATTACACGAAGATTAGATAACTGAGACATTCCGCTCCACTCACTAAATGCGGAAATAAAAATAATACGCCTTAGGGATCTTTCTGCACATTATTGGGACATTTAGTAATGTCTCCTACGAGGCAATAGTGGAAAGTCTCGTAGCACACCACATAGAGTCTGTCAACTTGCTATGGTTGGAAAATCTAGCGAGCTGCAATAATGAACGCGGAGTGGAACGCAAGCAGACTGCTCACACTAGCAGGTAAAGGAACAACTCATAGTGCGATTCTGTCACCAGCCTTCTGGATATATCTTGCGAATGAACTTCTGGGAACATTCGAAGGGAAACCATCCAAACTTAATTGCGACTGAACTTCTGGGAACATTCGAAGGGAAACCATCCAAACTTAATTGCCTTTGCATAATATTCCGGGTATTTTGGAGATACTGCGGACTGTCTAGTCTGTCTATCTACTTTTCATTGCATGCGCAGTACATGAAAAGCAATAAGATTGACATCTTTATTTCTCCGTTGTCTTCAGCAAAAGCTAAAGATCCCACCCATCCAACGTCATTGAGTATATGTTCAGTCTTATTCAAATATGGCGCAAAGAAAAGGAGACGATGGCAACGTTCGACGAGGCAGCATTTGATTTTTTCTAGAGAAAGGCTTTGCGGAAAATGTATGGTTCTCGGTGTGTGGACGGACAATGAAACAAGATACGAAGGAGCGTTTTTATGTTCGCAGAAAAAGGGGGCATACGGTGCAGAAAGAAAGAACAAATTATATATCCTTTGAGACGATTACATAAAGAAATGTTTTCTCTTTATCTACAAAATACGTCTAAACTTCCTCCTTTACTTCCTCATCGGTGCTAAATTTTAACAATAACTTCAGGTCAGTTTTAGGTTGTAGGGTGGCAGGGCTCGTAAGCATTCTCGGCACCCGTCTTGAGCTATCCTTAGTCATACTCAAATGATGGAATAGGCTTTTAAAAATCGTTGCATCGGATACTCCAAATATTTCTGTGAACTCTTTCTTCTTTAATCGAGCACCGTCAGGGAGAATTTTCTAAACTTTTCGGATAAGCTCTGGCGTATGGTCACCTTGATGCTCTTGTCCGGTCTCGGTCGTCTGCAAGGGATTTCCCACTTGTACGTCATGGTTTTTCCCGGACAAGAGTCGCCATGAATCAATGACAGCTCATTCATTACGATCGCAACGGATATTTCTCTACTTGCTATTGAGCTTTAAAACGGCGTAATATTCAATTTTTCCATATTTCACTTATCACTTCCGATTATGCTAGTTGGTTGGTTGACCTTAGCTAAAAGCCTAATTGTCTAATAACGATGAAACCTCGTATTTATATTTGTTATGAGTCACTGAACATTTTACGATCCTAATCAGGCTTATAACCCCTCCACGACCCTTTCATTCCCACATTGACAGAAACCGCAACTGAAGGCTAACTCATGTCATCCGAATAGAAAGTATTCGATTCCCCTGCCAGCGGGTCGCAGTAGAGCAGGAGGAAGAACACACTTCGTAAAAAAATTCAGTTCTTTAAATGAGATACTCGCTTGAGTTGTTGTCTGCAAGTCATGCCGAATGCAGAAAATCAGAAACGACTGACGCGTTACTGCTAACTCGGCTGTAAGAAGAAGATGCTCGTTACCCGCATTAATCTTCTGGTTACACTGTACGAGTACATAAACTTTTATTAAACATCTGCAGATAAATGAATAATTAAAGAAATCGAAATGTGGCACCCACGCAAACTGTTTGTAGTCAAGACGACACCTGTCGGTTGTAATTTATAGCTCCAAACGTATCTACATACGTGTATGTATGTATGTATGCATTTTGATTTATCAAAGAGCGCAATTCCCAGCGTGCAAATCGGGCTTGTGGTTGAAGCTTGTGGGTTGAAAAACCGTTGCCTTTTACACATTGATAAATATGTGTGTAATTATATACGTACGTGTATATACTGCCGGTGCTTGTTGGCGTTTTGTGGTCGGTATTGTTGTAAAAACCAAGGATCTGCGTTGACAGCTGCAAAGATTACAAAATTTGCTATATAGAATATACTATATATATATTATATATATGTGTATATATAAAGGGTGTTCCAAGTGTCAAGCTGTTCAGTATTGTTTGGCATTTCTTCAGGGAAAGACCTGCGCCTGAACAACGTTTACAAATCGTTTCGCGCGCTTCGCTTCAACATAATCGGCGTACTATTCGCAACAATATCACCCATCTTAAGACCCAGCGTACCTTACTAGATAATATTCCATCGAATAGACCTCGTCCAGCAGGCAGTGAAGAAAATACGCCAGCCGTAGCTGAGAGTGTACACGGAGAGTCGATTCGGCGCCGGACGTATAGAACGACTTGGCGCATTTTACATCGAGATCTTAAATTGAAAGCGTACAAAATACAGCTTGTGCAAGAACTAGAGCTGATCGACCTACCCAAGCGACACTGCTTGGCTGTGAAAAGCTCCTAGAAGATGCGGCTTTTCGTTCGAGCTGGCTCAAGGGGTATGTAAAGAGAAAAGTCCCACTTCTGGGACGGAGAGCAACCAGAAGAGATTCAGAGTTGTTATTTCATCCAAAAAAACCCACGGTTTGTGGGGTGACAGAATCATCGGTCCATATTTCTTCAAAAAAGATGCCGGTGAGATCGTTACCGCGTCATATTAACCGACTATTTGATGCCTGAACATGGAGCTCGTGATCTCGGCGATATTTGGTTTCAAAAAGACAACGCCATTTCCATACATCGCTTCAAACCAATGGATTTCTTGAGAGAACACTTTGCTGAGCAGATAATTTCACGTTTTCGACAGGTCGATTGGTTAATAAAATTGTGTGGTATCACACTGTTGGACGTTTTACTGTGGGGATATGTAAAGTCTAAAGTCTATGCGGACAATATCGCTTCGTATCAGGTCTTGTAGCAAAACTTCACGCGTGTCATTTGCCAGTTACCTGTCGAGATGCTCACGAAAATTACACTCAACAGGTGGATGGATCGTAGCCGCGGCCAACATTTGAAAGAGATAATCTTCAAAAAATTAATGCCAAATAATGTCCTTTCGAATGATAAAAATATTCACATTATTAATATTAATAAAGTATATAATATATTAATAAAATATACAATAATTAATAAAATATATATAAAAGTTTGAATTTTCTGTGCTTTTTTTTGCTTTAAAAAATTGCTTTAGGGAACTTCGAATTGGTTCACCCTTTATTTATACATACATATATGATTGTGTATGCATACATATATTATCCATCCATGTATGTATGTGCACATCTACTTTAACTTACATTTTCCATCGTGAGTATGAGCATTCCGACGTTATTGCATTTGCGTTGTCCTTTGTGAATTGCGAATGCCATTACATTTTCCACTTTATATTCGTACCAAGTGCAGTAAGCCACAGGCGGAACATTTGTTTTAATATATGTATATGTAATGTGTATGTTCTTTAAAGTCTCAACAGACCTATTTGTACATATATACCTACTTATATATTTATTTGTAAGGACATTAATAAATTCACCTTGTATATATATTTACATATACATATACATATACATGTGTATTTCAACGATTTTATCACTTACAGAATGATGCAAAAATGGTATTTGATGTTTGTCAACGTATGCACGATACGGAACCATTCTCAGAGGAGCTTTTGGCTGCCATGAAACGATTGTGGTCGGATACTGGTGTTCAAGAGTGCTTCTCACGTAGCAACGAATATCAATTGAATGATTCTGCTAAATAGTGAGTACATTTGTATATTTTATTTTTTTGTATTATTCGATTGATGTTATTAATTTTATTTAGTAAATTATTTAAATATTTTTAAATTTTCTTTCTCACCTGTTGAAGTGGAAACTTTAAATTTAAGCTGCAAAAATATTTAAAATTTCTATAACCAATTACTGTTGGTTACAAGAAAACTACTCTATAAATAAAAATTATTTATTTAAAAAAAATATATTGCTTTAAATGGATCTAAATTTAATATTTTAAAACCAAAAAAAAAAAAACAACGACACCGATTTCAACCCGACCAAGGACTGTCGCTGCCGCAACATTTCCCAAAAACTATGATACTTTGGGGAATATTTTTTCGGTTACAACAACAACAACAGGAACATACGATAATCACTTTGTGCGTTCAGCAAGCTCTCGGCGCTTCTGACGAGCCACTGCCTTTATGTGTGGACTGGCGTTGTCCTGCTGAAACACAATTCCCCTCCTTTTGGCCAGAGCTAGGCGCAGGTGGCACAAGATCCGTACTATATTGCTGTTGTATACAAACTTCCCAATCAAGTTTCGTCAATTTTTTGTCTGGCCATCAAAGTTATATTGGGTCAGGCGAGACAAAACAACTTTTCTATTGATCAATTTTGTAGGTTTTTTTTTTGTAGTGCTTGTTGTAAGCAAGTTAATTGTTGCAAGTAGAGCTCAAAATTGACCGTTTTTCCAAGTTATAACAGCTTTTGCTCATGTTGTTCAATTCACTTCCAATCTCACCATACATTCAGCATACTCTCTAAATGAACCGATTGTCTGTGATGAGTCACTTAAGAAATGGTTCGATTTTTTCGCGTTCCAGAAGTTTTTCCCAATTTGCAATTCCGTCATTTTTTATTAATGTTTCCGAACGGTCACGTAAGTGATGCCTAATGTCTTGGCCATGCTTTGCCCATTCCATTGACAAGCCGGTCTGGCTCCACCCATTTCGTCGGGTTTTTGACTAGCTGGCCGACAGCCGAAACATCAATATTTTCGGAACGGTGGTACGACATCGAATGGTTTGTTCACTAGCTGAATTCTCATCTTTTACCATTCATATTTATAAAACATAGCACATAACGCAGTTCTTCGGAGGTTTCACTCGATTTCAAAACAAAATAACTTTTTTACCCGGTGGACTATTTACTAAACTGTCTTGCCAAAAAATATTATCTGCAGTGCCAGTTTTCAAATAAGTGTTAGTTTGACGTAAACGATTTAGTATTGATCGAAATAAGAATACCATCTAGTGAAAAAGACTATGAATCCTTTCCAATTAACCAATATTATCATTACAATTTTTGTAAATTCAAAGGAAAAAAGTAATTATCGGATAAACTTAAAGTAGTTTACCTTACCCTACTAGTTTTCCCTTTTTTGCGTTGTTTTTCTTTGAAATTTTTTCTTAGCCACAAACAACTCTAAGAGTGCATTCAACCTGATCTATTTGTAAAAATTTTAAGCGAAATGTTTCTAAGGGAGAGGGCTGTGTTGTGAATCGGGTTTTGTTTTACGAATATAACTTTTCAAAAAAAGAGCCGTTAAAGACTTACATATATCGTTTGGAATATTAATGTAAGTCGTCGAATAATTTTAGCAATAAAATTGAATTTTCTGGATGTTTTATAAAGGAAATAGGCATACGAGTATAAATCCGCGTTTTAGAAATTTCTCAAGCACAGCGTCATCTGTTGGGATTTTCGAGTATATGAAGAACATAACAGCAGACTCATATATACAGCATTTAAAACCCAAAAAAGTAAAAAAAAGGATTCGATGCTAACGTATTTTTGTTCAGAGATAAAAAAAAATATTTATTCTTTTTGACTGAAATTTTTAAATATTTTTTATAAGCATAATAAATCTATTATTTATCGAAAAAGTCAAACTTAGTATTTAGTTATTTGGTTTCTTTTTTAATTATTTTAAAAATATTCATAAGAAATTTTATAGATTTTCAAATTTTATAATGTTATTCTAGATGTAAAGCTTTTCTCTTTCCTTAATAAAAATTATTAATTAAATCTCGTTATATACAACATATTAATGAAAAATTTATAAAAAAAAAAATAATTAATAACATTTAAAAAAATTAAATAATAAAATTAATAAAAAAAAATTAATTTATAAAATTAATAAAAATGTAATTAATTAAATTAATAAAAAATAATAATTAATAAAATTAATTAAAATGTAATTAATTAAATTAATAAAAAAATAATTAATAAAATTAATAAAATTTAATTAATTAAATCAATAAAAAATAATTAATAGAGTTAATAAAAATTTAATAAAATTAATAAAATTTAATTAATTAAATTAATAAAAAAATAATTAATAGAATTAATAAAAATTTAATTAAATTTAATTAATTAAAAATTCTTTAATAAAAAAATAATTACTAAAACTAACAAAAAAAAATGAATCAATAAAATTAATAAAAAATATTAATTATTAAAATTAATTATACATTTTCACTAAATTTATTCATTTATTTGAAAAACTTAATTCTATGCGCATTTTATAGTATTAGTACCAAAAAAAAATAATAATTCTGTATCCGCTTACGTCATTTAATACAGTGTGTATCTACATGTATGCATACGTGTATACTCGTATATGTATAAATTTAATACTAAATACCATAATGTACACAATATGGAATATATATTAGCATAATTTATATTTGCCTCGAGCAAACATTACAATGGAATGGAAGCACGTATGAAACTCATATTGGCGAGACTAAAGTATAATATTGTACGAAAACCATAGCAACAACAACAACAACACCGAATATAACTGCAAATATTGAATGTATGCTTGCATATAAATACATATATTGTATATGTGTACATACTCCAATGTATATATATATATGTGTATGTGCAAGGGGGCATAATGACGCCCCCTAAACAAACACAAAGTTGCACTGTTGCTGACTGCCTGACCGACGATTTTTTGGCAAATTCTAAATAATCATAGTTGCTGCTGCTGCTGCTGCTGCTGATGGCCGGATAACCACACTGCACCCAATATCATCAACTCATTCACGTTTGTTTAGTCGTCGCTCACGCGCCATCGCCCTCACTGCCCTCACCACCACCGTACACTACTCATCCCTTAGCGTCAATTTAAAATTAAGTGGCGATTCTGGTATGTAGGTTGAATTCACTTTATACACTAATTCGCCGGAATTGTATTCCACTTTGTATTTCCGAAATATCTGCAAATATAAAAAAAAAGAATAAATGAATTGAAATGGTTTGACATAAAGTGAGTTGGAAGCTGATGAGTTGTTGGTGATTGTACCATATTTGCTTTGTGAGAATTTTGACAAAGCGATGCGCTCCAAATTTTAATTAATTTTTTTTCTACCTTCCATGTACCCGAAATGGTATATGCACTAAGTTTGGTCCGAAGTATATTAGCACTAAAAGGAGAAGAGATAGACGCATCGTAATGTATGCCGCTCGGATATAGCTTTTGAAATATTTCAACCAAACTTGGTGCACAGCGTGAGATTTTGGGTCATAAATTTGCCAAAAGAGCAACTAAGAGCGTAAAACTTGGTATTTTGCACAAATATAACGAATTACATATTGGTACTGTAAAATTAGAATCGGAGAGCTCTATGAGATAGCTTCCCTACAAGCATTTTAATCAGATGAGCGTTTTTTCTTTTTTTCTTTTTTTTTTTTTGAAAAAGCGGAGAAAAATACATCATCCCAAAGTATTGTTTTTTGTTTGTTTATATATCTGGTAATTTTCGCAGCATGCCAACCCTAAAAACTCAGTCCTTTCTGTCTTCGATCAATCGTTGACCTATCTCCGATTACTTCAAAAGACCCAAACTTGTTTTGAATCCATCGAAAAAGCCAGTAGTCGATGGAAGTGAGGTCTGGAGAATACAGTGGGTGGAGTAATATAATATATAAGATAAATAATGGAGTGTTCTAGCTAGTTTTTGATCGTTGTAGCCAGGTAGGGCCGAGCATTATCAGATTGCAAAATCACCCTGTCATACCTTTCGGTCGTTTCTATCCGTTTATCACTCAATGCACGGCTCAAGCTAGTTGTAGTCGATAATGTTTCACATCACTGGTTTCGCCAGGTTTTAGCAACTCATAGTCTGCAACATCGGTCACCACTGGTGGAACCATCAAGTATAGAACCATGACATTTTAAATAGTGGCGGTGTTTCTTGGTGTCGATGTAGAGGAACGCCTTCACTAGGCTTAGCATACTATTTCTTCTGCTATCGTAGCATATCAACTTTATATCTCCTGTCACGAACCTGTGCAAAAATCACTTTCTTGGTTGCCTTTCAAGCAGCAGTTCCGACATCTCTTGCTTTCGAATAAATCCAAATTTCAGAGAGCAGATCGATATAATTTGTTACGCCAATAGTTTATTGTAATATATTTTGTGCTATTTGTTTTTAAAATTACTTTAACTTTTTTTATTTTATTTCATCATTTTTACTCTTTTCTTTTTTTCCTTTTTATTTCATGGCATTTAATTTTATGTTTTTTTCAATATCTTTTTTTTTTGTAATATCTTTATTAATCTTGCATTATGCTATTTTTATTTACCTTTATTTCATTTTATTTTATTTTATTTTTTCATGTAGCTTATCTTATTTCTTTACTTGACTTTTTTCTTATTTTATTATTAATTGTTAAAAAAAATAATTATTTTAAAATAATTTTTTAAGTTATCTATTAGCTTTTTTTATTTTATTTTTATTTTATTTTTTATGTGTGTGTTATAATTTTATGTTCCATTTTATTACTTTTACTCTTTATTCTTTATTTTAATGTATTTTGTTTAAATTTCTTTTTACTATTTTAAAATTTTTTTTTGTTGGGTTTTTTATTTTTATTTTATTTTATTTTTTTTTATTTTTTTATATTTTATTTTATTATACTATTTAATTTTATTTAATACTTTTTAAAATTTGTTTTTTTCATTAATAAAGTTTTATTTTGCATTATTTTATTTTCTCTTACGTTTTTAACTCACTTTTATTTTATAAGATTTTATTTTCTTTTACTTCTTTGATTTTTTTTTAATTAGTTTATCTTATATTTTATTTTACTCAATTTTTTTATTACTAATTCATTAAATATTTCAGTTAAATTTTTTTAGTTTTTTTATTTTGATTTTGTAAAGTATATATTTTTTCATTTTAATTCTTTTTATTTTATTTTGTATTATTTCCTTTTAAACTATTTTTTAAATTTTTTTTTGTTGTGAATTTTTTATTTTTGTTTTATTTTACTTTATTTGTTTTTTTTTATTTTATTTTATATATTTTTTGTTTTACGTTATTTAACTTACTTTTATTTTCTTTTACCTCTCCTATTTTTTTTATAATTTTTCAATTTAGTTTATCTTATTTTTCGTTTTACTTTAGTTTTTTAATTACTAATTACTTACTTAATCCAATTAAATATTTTTTTTTTTTGATTTTGTGTACCATAATCTTTTGTTTCATTTTAATTTATTTTTTTTTTTTTTCATTTTAATTTATTTTATTTTTTTTTTGTTTCATTTCCTTTTATATTATATTATATTTTAAATTTAATTTTGTTGTGGATCTCTNTTTTTTTTTTTTTTTTTTTTTTTTTTTTTTTTTTTTTTTTTTTTTTTTTTTTTTTTATTTTTTTTTTTTTTTTAATTTTTTTTAATATGTTTTTCTTGTACTTTTTTTTTAAAATGTGTTTGCTGCTGAAAGTTATTTAAAACGCGTGAAACTTGCGCTTTGTAATCAAAAATGGAAAATAATATTGCTCTAGGACAGTCTGTTCTATGAAAAAGTACGTACGTGTGTATGTATATGTGCGTGTAAAATTTCACGTACTCACCTTCGCCAAAAGCATATTCAATTCAATTTCGGCAAACCGACGTCCCACACACATGCGTCGGCCATAACCAAAAGGCAAACTCACAAAGGGATGAATCCTCCGTCCGGCGTGGTGTGGACATTCCGCTGCTGCACCTACAAAGGCATAGATGACATGAAATACAAATGTATGAAATGAATAAAGTGCCAGCGCATGCACATACAATTTCTTGCAAAAAAAGAAAAAAAATTCACTTTGTTTTTATTTTTTTTCCATTAATTTACTCAATCGACACGCGTGTGTGTTTGCTCTTTATTTTTTATTTTCCACTTTTCTGTGTCAATTCCCATTGACACATGCCATACATGGCATAAAATGGCCATAATAAATAAAAAAAAAAAAAAACAAAAACAAATAAACTCACCCATTTCGCTCTGCTTTAGCCAACGTTCGGGCAGAAATCGTTTCGGTTCTGGAAAATATGCGGGATCATTGGACACCACCAGATGCGGGAATATGACATGTGTCTGTAAAATGTCGACGCAAACAAAAACAAAAGATATAAATAAACAGAATTTGTGCAAAGAGACAAAAGATAGGCAGAGAGAAGAGGTGTTAAAGTGTTATTTGATTTATCTGTTTATGGGCACTTCGTGGGTTCTGCGTCTAGTGGTTGGGTGCGTAAGTCTTATTAAATTTTTGAAAGTGCTTTACTTGTTGACAGTGCACATGCACACATATACACGTATGTACAATATGTGTTACAATAGTTTGACTCCCAATTGGGTGTGACGCCGTCAGGTGCGAAAGTCATTTTATGCCTCATTTTCTACAAATTCGAAAGGCAAAAAGATTGCGAAAAAAGTAAACATATTAATTATGGATAAATAATATTTTCGGAATTGGCGGGCTCATGAAATTAGACGTTTCGCTTACAAAGTGTCTTCAGAATGTCAATTTATGCCTCACTTACGATGAGTGCGACGGCTTAAACTTTGTTGAAAAAAAATTTCCAAATTCCTTATAAATACTGATGGCTTTTTCCTAATAATATTGGCTAACCTTTTAAGCATGAATATAAAAACAAATTGAAAATATGCCATTAATCGCAGCTTAAATATGCCTACTTAATGCAATACATATATAAATATATTATGCCGTCTGCAATTGCATCTATTTATATTCGGTTTGTAGGTCTTTTCCTTCAAGAGTCTACTTATATTTATTTTGTATAATGTACAAATATATATGTTTGTATATACTATGTAAGTATGTAGTTGTTGTACTCTTTATTTTACTTACACCCTTTGGTATATGATAGCCAGCAATTACAGCATCTGTTTGCAGACTTCGGCCATTCGCAATGACAACTGGATACATTCTGCGGAAAATGAAAAAAAAAACAACAACAAAATATATCGATGCCAATGCATGAAATTAAAGATTTATATACATTCGACTATGTATATGTATGTATGTATGTATGTATATATAGTGTTAAAAATAGCCCACCTTAAGGTCTCCTTTATGCAAGCTCTTAAATATGGAATTTTTTCCAAAGCACTTTGATCGATTTCAGCTTCACGCATTGGAAATACATTTCGCAGTTCTTTGAAAAGCTTTTGCTGCTTATCGGGATTTTTCGCTAATTGATAAATAGTTGAGGAGATGGCGACAGAGGTCTGCAGAAATAAAAAAAAAATGCTTATATATTAATTTTCCATTGGAAAACCAATAAGTATGCCAAACAGTAAATTAAATAAAAAATCTATATAAATGAAATGGAAAGTATAATAAAATAAAAATATATAAAAAATAAAAACAAAAACAAAAACGAAAATAAAAAAATAAATAAAAATTAAAGCAAAAAAATTATATTAGAAAAGTAGAAAGTAAGAATTAAAATAATATAATATAAAACATTACATTAAATTAAAAAAAAATATATAAATAAAAAACAAGTGCAATAAAATATAAGTTAAATGTGATAAAAATAATATGAAAAAAATGGACCGAATTTAAATTAAATTAAATAAAATATAAAAGATAAAAATAAAGAACTTCAATAAAAAAATTTTTAAACAAATAAAATGGAATAAAAATGAGGTAAACTAAATTAAAGTAATAGTAAAATAAAGTAAATAAAATAACTGAAGTTAAACAAAATTAAATGAAAATCTTATACTTAAGTTAAATAGACTAAAATAAAGTAAAACACAATGAAAACTTCAAACTAAAAATGAGATATATTAAAATTAATTTAAGTGCAATAAAATATAAGTAAAATGCAATAAAAATAATATCATTATGTTTCATATTATTTTTATTGCCGAATTTAAACCGAATTTAATTTAATTAAATTAAAAAAATTTATAAAAATTTATAAAATCAATAAAATTAAAAAAAAAAGTAAATAACATAAAAAAATTAAATCAAATGAAATAGAAAATAAAATAAAGTAAAAAATTAAGTGAAATAAAACTCAGCAATCATATAATAAATTAAATAAAAATAAAAAAATAAATTGAAATAAAAAATGAAATAAAACTAAAATGGATTAATTAAAAAAAAAGTAATATAAAATAAGTAATAATAATTAACTAAATTAAAATATGTAAAGTAAAATTACATAAAATAAAGTAAAAGACAATAAAAACTTCGAGCTTAAAATAAAATATATTTAAATTAAATTAAGTGCAATAAAATATAAGTAAAATTAAATAACATAAAAAATGTATAAATAAACTAAAGTAAATTAAATCAAAATGAATTCAATAAAGTTAAAAAAAAAATATAAAAAAATCAATTGAAAAGAAAATAAAAATAAAATCCAATTAATTAGAATGAAATGCAAGGGAATAAGCGAAACAAAAAAATGAAAGAAAATAAAAGAATTATAAAAATAAAAAATAAGTATCAAAATAAAAATAAAACCAAAAATAAATTAATATAAAAAATAACTAAATTAAATTAAATTATAAATTTTATTAATTATTAAAAATAAAGTAAATAACATTTTTTCGATAAACATCAAGACGCAAAACCACAAATCCGAGGAGGAGCTCGGCCAAAAATCGTTCACGCGGTTAAAAAGCGCCAATTATATATATATATATGTATATATATTAAAAATAACAAAATTAAATATTGAAAATAAGGTATCCAGTTTAAAGGAAAAAATAAAAAAATTAATAAAAATACAAAAATAAACATAATGAAAAAAAAGAAAGTGAAATCAGATAATAAAAAAATTAGATAATAAAAAAATAAACAATAGAAATAACAAAATAAAATATGAAACAAAAAATAATGGAAAAAAAATAAATTGAAATGTGATAAAAAAAAATTTTTATAAAAAACAAAAACAAACATAATGAAAAAAAAATAAAGTGAAATTAGCAAATAAAAAAATAAAAATAAGAAAATAAAAAAATTAACAATAGAAATAAGAAAATAAAATATGAAACAAAAAATAATGGCAAAAAATAAATTGAAATGTGATAAAAAAAAATTTTAATAAAAAACAAAAACAAACATAATGAAAAAAAATAAAGTGAAATTAGCAAATAAAAAAAATAAAAATAAGAAAATAAAAAAATAAACAATGAAAATAAGAAAATAAAAAAATAAACGATAGAAATAAGAAAATAAAATATGAAACAAAAAATAATGGAAAAAAATAAATTGAAATGTGATAAAAAAAAATTTTTATAAAAAACAAAAGCAAACATAATGAAAAAAAAATAAAGTGAAATTAGCAAATAAAAAATAAAAATAAGAAAATAAAAAAATAAGCAATAAAAATAAGAAAATAAAATATATAACAAGAAAATAATGGAAAAAAAAATAAATTGAAATGTGATAAAAACACAAGACTTTTCACCCAAAACATGATATAGGATGCACATTTATTCTATGGGAGCTATATGATATAGTCCTTCGATCTCGATAATTCTCAGTATAAATGTTCATTATATTTATTATTTGTATGGGCGCTTTGGGCTTTTCCGCCCCATCAAATATCCAACACTTAATGTGATCGTCTTTAACCAATATAGATTTAATTACAATTTTATTTACTGAATTGTTACGATCTTCGTACATTTCAAAATTTCATCAAAATATCTTAATCCATAATTAAGATTGCGTGGACACGAATGGATGGACTGATGGACGGACAGAAATACGGAGAGACAGACATGGCTAAATCGATTCGTTTTGTCATTCCATGAAGTTTATGATAAAAGGTTTTCCAATAAGGATGATATGACTTCAAAGTGTCGTTTTTCCATATTTTTATTACGTCATGATCTGCCATTTTTCTTCATTGTATTCAGTGCAATTTCATCATGGCAAGATACACGGAAGAATAACGTAAATAACAATAACTACATAAAAACGATAACAATTTAAAAAAAAATCATTTTCTCCGTTGAGGCTCACTTTCATCCAACTGGTGCGGTCAATAAATAAACAATAAACAATCAATTCTGGTGCCGAGAAAATCCGCAAATTATTCATGAACAGCCATTTATATATATAATTGGCGTTGAAGCGGTTTTTTTGCTCCACCTTAAATTGGTGGTTTTGCGCCTCGATGTTTTTCAAACAATTGGAGGGTCCTACAGTTTATACAAAGAAATCATATCACACTTATTGGAAAACCCTATATATGTATATATGTCCATATCTATCTCGACTCTTTCTGTAGTGCAGCCCTCTTTCTTTGAAAATTGTTCAAAAATACATATACAAAAAAAAAATATATTTAAAAACTTACCGTATCAACGCCAACTAAAAATAAATCCAATGCCAACACCGCTGCCAATTTGCGATTACCCGTTTTACGCACAATACGTCCCACTATCGAGTCAGCTGTTTCGTTGGAATTTTCAGCGTTGACGCGATCCATAGCGCGACTAATATTACGCATGCAGATTCTACGAAAATCGAGGTAATAATAAAAAAAGATTTCTTTTTTTAAATAGAACAACTATTCTTCAAAGAAATGAATTAACAAAGGAGTGCAGAGTATATTAATGTTCTACTTAATTTAATATACAATGGCCACTAAACACCTCCCTTTCATGCGTAGCCATCAACCGCATGCACTTTATAGTAATTATTAAAAATCATCTTCATCAGTCACTAAGGCTGACTTTCAAACAAAAAAAAATAAAAAAAATAAAAAAAAAATTATAATAATAAAATACAAACTCACTCTGTAAAGTGATCCAACGCCTTTACAAAACTGCGATACGCCTTTGTCGGATAGAAACGCCACAACGGCATACGCAGCTCCAATTCAGGCACAGCCCAGAAGAATGTATTTATGGCGTTGATGATTTGTTGTGACTCTTCACTGCCGTCCGGCGATAAACAGCCAAGGCGTGTATCCAATGCCACACGGCCCACAGCTGTCTTGGTCCAAGAGCGAAGGTGACGGGTAAAGAAGGAGAGATGGAGAGAGGGAGAGAGAGAGCGTGAAAGAAATGAGAATATAATATTTCAATGCAAATTTCGCAAGTGTCCTGCCAACTACTGCTGGTTATATCATTTTTACTTTTGCCCACACATACTCGTACATACAAACACAATTTATTTTACTCACATTCCAACGCCCATTTATGTAGTTCATGTAGAAAATTTGCCGGCAGCTCATCGTTTTCATTGCGCATTTCATGTATTCTGTAATTTATAATTTACACAACACCGAATTATTGTGTTAAGAGTGCAACAACAATAACATAATGAAATATTTAAAATATTTTTTTCTCTCGTTCTCTTTTTAACAACTCATTTCACTGAATTTTTTTCTTTTCTTTTTTTTTTAATTATGGTAAATATTAGGTCAAGTAAAAAGTTCGTTCGTCTTTTATCTTAGAGATGACGTTATTGTCCATAGTACCGGTGTTACGTGTGGCGCATCATGTCATACTATGCGGCGCCGAAAACGTGTTTATTTGAGCTAAAAGTTTGTCTTTGACAGGTTTTCGTTTTATTGACTCAGTACATTGTGAGCGCTCGTTACAGATGAACACCAGCAAAGAGAAAATTCGTTAGATTTTACAATTTTTCTTCGATCAAGGCGAAAAAGCAGCCAAAGCGGCTGAAAAAAAACGTGTAGCACAAAAGTCGTTTGCTAGGTTCCATTACGGTAATTTCGATGTCAAAGTTGCACCAGGTTTTACTGTGTGTTTGGTGGGATTGGCAAGGAATCAGCTACTACGAGCTGCTCCCCTATGGTCAAACGCTCAATTCGGCCCTCTACGGCCAACAACTGGACCGCTTGAAGGCAGCACTCATCCAGAAGAGGCCATCTTTGATCAACAATGGCCGAATTGTGTTCCATCAGGACAACGCCAGGCCTCACACGTCTTTGGTGACGCGCCAGAAGCTCCAGCAGTTCGGATGCGAGGTCCTAAAGCATCCACCTTATAGTCCGGACCTGGCACCAAGTGATTACCAGCTTTTTCTGTCCAAGGCGAATGTGCTTAATGGTGAGAGGTTGGCCTCAAGAGAGGCCTGTGAAAATTAGCTCTCCGAGTTTTTTGCCAATTGGGACGTAGCCTTCTACGAGAGGGGTATAATGAAGTTGGCATCTCGTTGGCAGCAAGTTTACGAACAAAACGGCGCATATTTGACTTAAATCGAACAAATTTACACAAAGTTATCATATTTTGAAAAATCAATAAAAACCCGAACGAACTTTTTACTTGGCCCAATATATTTTCCTATAATAATTAATATAAAAGTGTCACCTTTCCATAAATTCACTGGCAATTTCATTCAGCGGCGGCACATACTGTTTAGCCGTTTGCGGTTGTAGTAGAATTTGTTGTACTTCTTGTCGGAACAGCGCCCAGTTTTTGCCATGCCTAGAAGCGAGAAAACGAAAAAAAAACACAAAAGTAAATTCATTAAATTACAATACAATTTAATTACACTTCATTACACTATGTATGTATGTGTTTCTTTCTTCTTCTTCTTCTTTAATTTTTTTCATGTTAAATTTTGTGTAAAGTGAAATCACTTCTTTTCGTTCATTCCTTCGTTTTCTCTGTACTTACACTCCAATGAGTCCAGCGATGTCGCCAAAGAAATCGCGTCGCAATTTTCCTTTGTAATGTTTAAGTGATGGCATTGAGGGTCTGCGAGAAGAAAGTAAATTTTCAGTTATACCGTGAACTTTTTAATTATTTACTACATTAATGTCAATCAGTGGTGTATGCAGGAGGAGCACACATAGTGATGTTCTAAATGTAATACTCCCACTGGACTTAGTGGTATATCAGTCGTCAGTAGTAATTGCAGGGGGAGAGTCGGTATCTTTTCAGGGTACACTCTTATGGAACACTCTTTCAGGCTACCTAACCACTGCAGTGTATCTCAGGCGAAAATTTAAGCTATGATGGATGCAGCAAAGCCAATCGGTGCCAGGCATTGCCTTTCTGTGAGGGTCTATCTCGTGGTAAACTGTAAGCGGAATGAACTCATACATATCTTGTGACCTATTGATAACCTATTTCGATTAGGTGTGCCTGGATTTGCCGCACGTTTTAGTTTCAAGCCGCGTCAAGCGCTTGTGGCACGTTTAATACCGAAAATAATCTGATTGGTCGTACCTTGCCTACATAGTTGATGCGCCGTATAATTTCCCTCCATGTTCTCCCCCTTAAAAAGAGATAATATGTACAAAGCCTGAGTGTACACTATCTGCTAGGCCGACAAGGGCAGAGCCTATAGAGTCTGCATAAAAGTTGCACATATGATGAGAAGGAGGAAACGATTGCGATTGTACTGCTGGATAGACTATCGAAGATAGCCGACGTCAAAATCGTGGATCTAATGAGGTTGATTAGAGAATCGAAATGGTTGGATAATGAAACCTAACGTTTAAGTTTTTCTGGCATCATAATGAATCTTAGTCAGGCTTCAGTGCAATCAATAAAATACATCGCTAGCCACCACAACCAGGGAGGATTTTTATGTTCGTGGAATGGAGGCTAATGAGTGGAGATATTCGCCTGCAAGAGAGATACATTTTTCGGATCTTACAATTAAATTACTTATACCAACTTAAGGCGGCTCCTATTGACGCATGCGTTGTGGTACAAAAGCAGCACACCTTTCATCAAATTTTCCCGTCTTGTCTCTCTATTGAGGTTTTTAGTCGGTGTTATATTAAATCGTAGTATCTTTCAGTTGTAGAAAAATCTTTAATAATATTAATTATACAATAATATTTCTTCTGAGGACCAAAAGATCGTAGACACGACCTTAAACATTTTGGCAGGTATTTTGTCTTTGAGATAACAGTTGTTGTTGTTGTTGTTGTAACCGCAAAAATATTCCGCAAAGTACTCTTTGGAGAATGTTGCGAGAGTGACAGTCCTTGACTGGATAAAAATCCGGGTTGTTGCGGTATAAAGACCCGACTGTTCTGGGAACTACTGGACTTTTGTCGCGTAAATTTTTGAATTTCTAACCCGCAGGACGGTTTTTAACACCAGTGCAGTGTCTTGTTTTGATTCAGATTCATAATGATGAACCCAAGATTCGTTTTCAGTAACAATTCGACTCAATACACCATTTTACCATTCTTTACAGAAGTCCAAAAATGCACGCGTACACTCTACGCGCTGTTTTGTTTTTGCAGAGACTTCAGTATTCTCGGATCCTTACCTTTAATAAGGTTCTTAGTCAGACCTATTGCATTATTAGACCATTGCGCCGCTACTTTAAAATATTTTTTGTTGTAAATAATTAGTTTTTCTATTGAAATATGAAATTATCAAAACATTCTTGTTTTATTGCAGTTCTTTGCTCATAAAAAAATTCTTAAAAAAATATGTCTTTTTTTTGGCATTTACAGTGGCCTTACCCCTTAAACAAAAAATATTAAAACTTCAAAAATATTCAATATTCAAATAAAAAAATGCTAAAAATTCATTAGCACATCATACACTTTTAAGCATTCATATAAACAATGAAAAATACGACCATAATAGCAATTGTTACCTCAATAGTCTTGAATTATTACATATGTGTGTATGAGAAAAATGCCAAATATTAACTAGTATCCAACTGGTTTGTTTTTTGTGCATTACTAGTTCATCTTCATCTAATTCTCATCTAAGAAACTGTTATTTTTAAAACGAACCTCCAACCGTATGACTATGCGATAGCTTCATACTAGTTAAATACTAGTTCATTTAGCTGTGGTAAAAAAATTTAAATAAAAATCAGTTTATCTGCAGCAAGACTCGAGCTCGGAACCTCCCGCGCGCGCTACACTGATGATCTTTAACCACTCGGTCGTGTTGAACGTCATTTTGCGCACTTCAAGAGCACTGGCACCCAGTAGTGACTCACTAGATATAACAACAGCGCGGTGATGGCTTATTACTCCCGTTATTGAACCGCTTTACACACAATCGACTGGTATATGATTTCATCTTCGACATACTGGTATTAAACTATAATTTTTCCATACCAGTCTAGCTTCTGCCTGCAGGGTACCTAAACTAACACGCATGGAATGTGATTGTTTTTTTTTTTTTTTACTTGCCCACACCTGTCGTCTTTAGAAGCAAGCAGCTATGACAGCAGTGGCAACTCGGCGCATCACGAAGCTGAAGTACATACACGCCACTAAGTATGCGTGATAAAGAAATGAGAGTTATTACTAAAAAAATATTACGTAAAACTGAGAAACAACAACAACAAAGAGTACATTGTAATAAAATAAAACAAAAGAAAAAAACGAAAGAAAATTTTTGTAAAGAATTGCCACATTCATAATTTCTGATGGCAAACATGCAAACTTATTAATTTTTATACATTTAAGTACATATGTACATATATACATAAATATATTCACGTATATTTATACAAACATATATATTTTATTACATGCGTGTAAATTATTTTCTTATAAATTACATTTGCACATGCGTAACTGCGCGTCCCTCCCTACCGGCGTCAACTTGAATGGCTTTATTTTAGATTCTCACAGCTTTAGGCCACGTAACGCATTTCATATAGCCTACATATATAATTTACAAATAACATTCACAGCTGAAATACATAACGCCTTGTAGGTAGCGCCGTAATGGGGTGTCGCTCATGCGCACTGAGCGGCTTAAAAAGGCAGGTGAATATCGCAGGCTTGAAATTTCGCACAACCATTGCCTTTGGCGTCGGCTGTTGACAGATCACAGCTTCGGGCTATGAGTGGCATCATTGGCAGTTTTTATTGATTTTTGACGTAATTTAGCCTTAGCCTAAGGTACTCATGTAAATTTGTTTTATTTGCGCATTAATAACGGCTTTGTATATGACCTTATTATTTTGGGAAGATCATTTTATACATACATTACATATATACGAGTATATATATATTGTCTATAACTCGGCTGTACTATGTGCAAAGAGTATATTATTTTTGTTCGACTGACGGTTGTATGTACAGTCTTGGCCAAAAGTATTAGGCACCCCACTAATTACTGAATTTTTTGTTTTAACAAGTGAAGTAATGAGGTTTTATTAGTAAAACAGTGAAAATATAATGAATTTGTGATAATAACATTAATATTTAGTAGGACCACCCTTCGATTTAATAACGGCAGCAATTCTCTTAGGCATGCTGCGTACAAGCTTTGCACATTCGTTCGTACTTAGAGCGTACCACTCGTTAATTAAGGCAGTTTTTGATGTTATACTGTGTTCCTTAAGCTTGCGTTTCGAAATAGCCCACATGTGGTCAATGGGATTAAGATCTGGAGACTGCAGGCCAATCTAACAAAACAATGTTATTATCTCTCAACCAACGCATTGTAGTCGCTGATTTGTGACAAGGAGCATTGTCTTGCTGAAATTGAACCCCGTCTAAATTAGTATCGTCAAAAATGCGCATTAACGAAAGCGGAAGAACAGCTTCTAATACACTTATGTACTTTTGACTGCCCATGCGACTCTCACAAACGAACATTTCGCCGACACCATCTCCCAGATCATAATGCTGCCTCCTCCATGCTTAACAGTGGGTACCACGCAATCTGGATGATATTCTTCCCCAACCCGTCGCCTCACGAACGTCACACCAGGTGTTCCAAATATCTGCAGAAAGGAAAAAATATCGTTATCATAAGATTTGTATTATGTCTTCAAAATTTCTCTAGGGTAAGAAGCTATGGCTGTTAATACTATAAGACGATCTTAATTAAGCTTACCTCGAAGTTTGATTCATCAGACCACAAAACATTCAACCAATTTTCTTCTGTGATTTTTCCTTTCTATTCTGAAAGGCTTTACGTCCTTTTAAACCTGCATCCAGAAGACTTCTTCTAGCTGTTCGAGCACTAACTGGCTTACTAAATCCATCCGAAAGGGCAGCTGCAGGGGCAGAAAAAGATTTTTTGCGAACCTTGAGAGACTCTCGTATAAGTATTTGGTCTTACCGTTTACGGGTTATACGCTTTCTTCCGCTTTTTGATTTATTATTATGGGATTTTGTCTCCACAAATCGCTAGATAGCACATTGGTGCGCGCGCCGCGAACATCCCACCAAATGGGCAATCTCAATCTGAGACTTACCTTCTTCACCTAGAGCTTGAATTCTAACTCTATCATCGTAACTAATTTCACTTTTTTTAGGCATTTCGGTAAATATGAACTGTTTTTATAATTTTATAAGATTGGTAACTTTTCACTAAATGTAATTTACACTTTCACTTTCAAATTTTAAATGCGAAAATATTTTATGAATTTCTTAAAAATTACAATTTTTAGGTTTAGCTTTATTTATTCGTTTAATCAGCAGTTAAACACCCATGTAAGACATTTACAAAAAGAAGTGGTAACTTTGATGGCCACATTTGAGAATATTTGTATTTTAGTGGGGTGCCTAATACTTTTGGTCAAGGCTGTATATCATTGGCGCTTTGTGATCGCTGAAGCGAATTTTGGGCCGAGTTACTCCTCCCATTGGTGATGTTTCTTCTAACAAATGGAGGGACCCACAGTTTATACTACAATAAGCCGCCTCCGAATGGCTCATGGTGTTTCATGAGGAGCCCTTATTTCATGCTCAAAATACATTCGGAAGGGTGTTCATGCCCTGCCGAGGGGCGACCGCAGTTAGAAAACTTAGCTTAACCACTCGGCTACCGCGGCCGTCATATATGTATATGTATATTCAAACAAAAGAGAGCATTTTCTTTTCCTTAACCAGAACTCGCCACATCTTGTGCAGGGAGGAGTATACTTATTATGCGGCCCTGTCAAGGAATTTTCCATTCACCATTATCTAGTAAGCCTCCGCAAAAAGTATTTTCTTATTAGTGAATAATTTTACTATTGTTATGCTTTAATTCAAGCTCATAAAGAAAAGTTAAGAGCAAAGTTTTATGAATGTCAATGCGTAATGAAGTTAAAAATCCCACAGCAATTCTCTCTTACTCTCTGCTAATTTTTATGCTGAGTAAGCATAGCTGCACAGTTTTCCCAAAATTATTTTTTTTTTCTTATTTCATCATCTTATTGTGTCCATGTTGATAATTAGCACCTTTTCCTTTTGATCTTTTTGGTTGTTTATCTCCCTATTTTACACACATTTTTTTTTATAATTTTTTTTGTGGCGCGATTTCGCACTTTCAATTTCTGTTTGTTGGTTTTTCTATTGTATTAACAACTCACGTGTGGTGAATATTGTAAATAGTGTAGTGTAAATAAATAAAATATATCTAAAGCTTGAACTTGTGACTCAAAATTAGATATGAGTATATAAATTAGGCGCTTTTGTATTTTTTTTATTTTTATTATTTTATTATTTATTTTATTTTTTTTTTTTATTTGAATTTTTTTTTTTTTTTTTTTTTTTTTTTTTTTTTTTTTTTTTTGTATGATCACAAATGACAATTTTGTATGGTGGAAACTATGATAAATACAATAATTTTATGGTAGTTTCATTCTCTCTTCGCAGTCGGCTCTTTAGCTAACTGACATTAAACGTGTTTCGTCTTTTTCGTGCATCACTCATCACTTAAAAAAATCTATAGCTTTTGAAAAAAATGTTGGTGGAGAATTTTAATTTTTTTTTTTAATGTTCAAAAGTTCAAAAATCACTGTATATTGCAATCCCTGATAGTGAACTCGAGCGCATGCCTTTCATGATTGTTTATTACAAGCTTAGAAAATTGTAAGAAAGTATCAGAACTCTTCCCGGTCTGACCGTCCAACAACATTTAAATCGAATTCAAAAAGATGAGGAGCTGACTGGATTTGCTATATCTACATTTGAATGCAAATCAGTCTCACACTTTTAGTGGATTGGAATTTCTTTAAAAAAATCTCATAATTACGCTAAAAGTCGTTTAAGACGATTAAATTTCCAAACTCTTTTGAATATTATAGTCAGTTAGTTAGGTTGGCAAGATCTCGTGATGATGGCTATGTTGGTTCTGTGAAGAAGATTCTTCTCACTTTTCCACTTGGTGTATTTTACGAAGTCTAGAATATTAATGATGCCTAGAGATACACGCTCTTATAAGCAATCGAAGCAGATTTAAATGGAGCTTTTAATATATCAGCCAACTTATGAAGTGTAGTTTGCTTTCTCAGCGCTTACTTTGATATTTTCTTTTATTTTTTCCACTTTAAATGAGCGTGTGTTCAATGCTCACACGTCCATGCCTGCGTTTACGCATCCGCCTTGATTTGTCAATGAGCGGCAATTTAATTTACAGCAATGAGATTTTAATTAAATGTCTAATTACATTTGTGGGCAGGAAATAAATGAAAAGAAAATTGAACTGAGACTCAGTAGGAAGAAACTCAAGGGAGTTCGTTGCGAAATATATACTGAGTACACACAAATATACAAACAACTACACACCACAGGCATGAGTTTTTTGTTCAACTTTGCTTGGGGTATATAGTTTTTCGTGAGTTTTCCTCACCTGTGCGGCATAGTCTCCTCTTTCTTGAAAATATTTCGTATCTCATCGCCATCGAATACGAACAGCAAATCCGGATGTCCGATCAGACCTCCAACCTTAACAATTTTCCCATAGTTAATGTGTAGCGCCTTCATAACTTTGTCCAAATCCTGTATGCGATATTGACCTACGAGCAGAAAACAGCCGTAAATTTCATAAAAAAATATATGTTTTTTTGTACATTTAATATTAATTAAAAAACAAAAAAAAGGTACGCTTGAACCTACCCACTAATGGTGCAAAACGCCATGAATTGCCCAACACCGGCATACCCCAGGGACCGGGCACGGCTGCGTAAGGGCGTACACTTGCGCTGGCGGAAAAAAAACAAATGAAAAATGAAAAATAAATATGTATTTTTTTTTATTTAGGTAAAAATTTTTTTTTTTGCTCTTTGCCTTACTCACCTCCCCTCAGGCACATGCACAGTTGTTGCTGTTTTCGCTGCTTTGGCTTGTGGTACATGTGTTCTTTGTGGCTCGTGCGTTAGCGCTGCTGGCAAGGTCACCGCATTTGGCATGACCGTTGCAGCGGCGGCGGCGGCAGCAGCAGCTGAAAATGATGTGCGCTTCACAAGCGCCGTTGTTGGTTTATGTAGATTCGACATGACCAGCGAGGGTTTCTTTATTTTAATTTATTTTTTATTTTTTTTTTGTGATATTTGTTATCCTAATTTTGTGCTGGAAAATAGTGAAAGGTTTTTTTTTTTGTTTTATAAAGTTTCGTTCAAGCGTACGTTTATGCACTGTTGATTGTAGAAATTGTACAAAAATATGTGGGCTTTTTTGTTCGAAGAAAATTCAATTTCGAATTCGTACTGAAGCTACAATAAAATTTTGTAAATATTTTACACTGCAAGATATTCTATGCCATCAAGAGAACTCTGCACTGTACTCTGTGTTCTGGCTATTTTCTCTCAAGTGAGAGAGACGGAGCGAGCTTTTATAAGCTTTTTCATGCTTTAAGTCTGCGTTTTACCAGATTTATTGTATTAGAACGGAAATACCTTTGTATTTGGATATTTAATTAATTTTTATAAAACAGAAATGATATACAATGCTGGAAAGAGCTCTTTCAGTTCTGTTCTTAAGATTTATATTTTATTTAAGTGAAGCGCACAGATTATAGACAGTTAGAACTTTCAAAAGCCTCCAAATATATTCTCTGAAAATTTTTATAAAAAGTTCCCGTGAGACGAGATGGTTGAGCCGTGTTTAAAAGCTCACATTTCGGCAATATTTTTCGTGAAAACAGCTCTGTATATTTCCATTCGTGTGAAAAGATATTTTTATTTGAAAATTAGTGAATTTATCCAAAAAAATTCATTATGTGTTGCTTTTTGCTATAAAAAGAAATAAAAGCGTTGCTGGACTCTTTTGAAAATGTCTTATTCGATTCTATTTCGTAGACTTTGATGTCACTTACACAATACAATTCGTTCTCTCTCGCTTTTCACGCAAAAAGCCGATGAAATTCTGCGACTGGTGCAAGAGCAGCGTAAAGAGAGGACGCGTCAGGCAATGCTCGCTCGACAGTTGGGAATCATTTAAAGAACAATGGCTACTCAGAAAGTCTCGATGTGGAAAATTGGTCAGCCTCAGTCTTCGCTTGTAAACCACCTGCAGGGCAATTCTCTATCGTATTATAACGATTTTCGGATCGTTATAATGACTTAACGATAATTTTAACGATTTTGCTATTCTCTNTTTCGTACATTTTGACGTTTCGTTGAGCTGTGGTGCCACCTTTCCTACATTTTAATAAAATGGAAATGTGCGATGTCGATTATCGTAACAACTGCGTTAGAGAATCGCATAATCGTTAGCGCAAGCGACAAAATTCGCAACTTTGCGATCCGACAAATCGTGTCGATAAAAATTACAGAATTGCACTGCTGGTTGAGTTATGAAGCACCCCAAAAAATGGCAAAAAGACATAGATAAAATGATCAATATATACCGTCTATAAGCTCAAAGTGAAATTCACTCTCCGATGCTCTCAATGCGACTACCAAACCACTACAGCGTCCTCCAAGCAGAATACCTTGCAAGGATGGAAGCTCCAGTCTACTGACGCAGTACAGTCAGTTAGGCACAACATTAAGAGTGGCTATAAAATGGAGAAACAATTTGAAGAGATTCTCGTCTAAATGTAACAGTGCCGTTGCCTGTCTACCCGCGCACAGTGACATACCAGACAATTGTATGGCAGACGAACTATGTAACAAGAGAAGGAACCCTTCTATCCGCAATAAAGTGATGCAAGTTTACCTTTGACCGCAGCAAAATAAAGGCTAAAACTGGCCTTTGTCAAATAAATGAACTCCAGATGGCTGAATGCCATGGCGTGTAACCTGACCTGGCACCTGTGACCGACATTGGAGGCGAAAAAAAGAAATATCTGACCCTTCTAGACTGTTTCACCCAAAGCATAACGACAGATGTAATAACAGATTACTATTCAATGGGGCTCCAAGGGAAAAGAATGGCTGGCATTCTAATGACTTTTACCGCAGCTGTCGCGACGTAGAAGAGGAATGATCTATTGAACCCTACTTCTGTCACTGTCCAGCCTTGACGTCTGCGCGACACAAATTCCTCGGGTAAACGTTTTTTCTGACTGTCTCGCTGAGCTAGCTTCAGCGAAAGTGAGCAATCTCGTTACTTTACAAACTACTTTTGATTTTTTAAACGTGCGTTACATAAAACAGTCCCTTCAAAGTCGGTCTTCTGGATATTTCAAATATTGCTCGGTTTCAAATTATTACGCAATCTTCTTCAAGTATTAACCAAGAAATGAGATTGAAATAAATTAAATAAATATTACCACAGTTTGGTGTCGGTTTGTTCCAGGACGTTCATCGAAAATCAATACGCTTGAATGGTCTGATACAAACTATCGAAGGAGGAGTTGAGCAGAACCCTCAAAGATCATATCCTCACTGTGATCAGCAATTTGGTGTCAATTACGGAGGGGATCCTGGAAGGATGATTTGAATTTATTTACGTGCATACGACAGTAGAGTCGCGACGTCAAACAATTCAACTCCCAAAGATAAAACAACCCAAAGTTACTTTAGGTCACATTCGACACCAAAAAAACATAGAGCCTCGATAGAATCATCAAAGAGTTAACTGGAAGCAACTGGGGAAAACATAAAGAAACGTTGCTGGCAACATAGAGGACAATTGGCTGCACCCATCTGAATGCCGGGAACTACCGAAACACAGATGAAGAAGCTACAAGCCTGACAAAACACCGCCCTCATGGCCATAAAACGAAATCTCTTGGCCTCATCTGTACTAATGCTATGCTGAGCAAGCAATAACTGCTGAGATGCTAACGAAGGGAGCAGACTTACTTGAAGCCGAGTTACCACCTAGGCATATCCGGCAGGGGAGTATAAGAATCACAAATCATAATCAGTAGCCATGCGAACCCCTTGATTAAATCGCGTTGTGGCATTCACTTTAAATCGATGGAGTTAGCTGAAGTCTTAATCGGAAATAGTAGTTGGAAGCCAAAGAATCTGACACCAATGATGATCCTAAGCCGAAGAACTCGCTACAGCAAACAATTGAATGGAGAGAAAATTATTTTGAAACTCTGAAGGGTCAAGAGCACCGCTTCTTCGAGCCAACCAAATACGTTGACCGCTTACAATGACGAGTTGAGGATGGTTGAATCAACTTAACTCTTCATTGTGATCGGTCAGCTTGAATATAAACTAATCGGCCAAACTGATATCCGTTATACATCAAAATTCTATTTAAGTAACAGAGGTCGAAGGACGATGAGCATAATGAAACTGCCCCAGAAAGGTTTCGATCTCTTCATTTCAACACAATGTGTCCATGACCTCGATATCTTTCTGGGGCCGATTCCCTATGCCCATCATCCCATGGTCATTTGGTTTTAATCGCCTTTGAAAAAGAAAAAGAATCACAACCGTCCTACATACAGGCAACATTACCATAACCTATAAATTGACATGAAATGGCCTTGCCATAATATTTGTTCAAGTAAAAAGTAGCCCATTATTTTTAGATCAAATTGAATCTCGATAAATTCTGCCATTTTAAAGACAATATCCTTATGGCTCTCTCCTAGCAACCCTTTCCTCTATTGACAAGAAATTGGCACAATCAATTTTCAAAGGTTTTCTTTTGCTTCCAATTCTTCACCAGCCAAAAGCCGGACTATACGATGGATGCATAAGAACCTCTCAATCAAGTGCCCGGAGTTTCTGGCGAGCCACAATCGATGTGTGTGGTCTGACTTTGTCTTTATGACCCGCAATCCGCCTACTATTGGCCAAAGCTTACAACGTCTGGGCAATAGCTTCCTTGACACTGTCCGATTGCAGACAGTACAGGACGGCATTAAGAGTTTGGCAGCAGCTCATAGCTTGGAGACCGTTTGTGCCGGCTTACAGCCCTTCGACCACAATCAATTTCGTGTGACGCTGCTGTAAAGGATCCACATTTCATCATTAGTCAGCCGCTTCAGAAATGGGTTGATTTTGTTACGATTCAGTAGCGATTCGCTAGGGGAATTTCGCTCCATGAGGTTTTTCCTCGTTAACCAAAGTGATGCGCATACATCAAGCTGCTTTGTGTAACCAGTACATCTATTGCAAAAATAATGGATGACCTTTTACTTGACCTAAATTTAAAAAAGCAAAAAATATTTTCCAAATTTATAGCCACTTTTATCAGACAAATATTGATGCAATATCGCTGCCGATGTTTCGCCACGTCTGCGCATCTCCAAGAGCTGCACAACGTCTGCATAAATATGTATTGTACATACTCGTACATACATACATATGTATATATGTGCATATAGACGCACTGCAAATACTTAACCACCCAATAATTCACAAAACAAATATAATAAAATAATATTTACTTTTAAGTAGCAAAATAGTTGACTTACTTGTCAATAGCATTAGCGACAGAGCAATATTTATTTAAGCAACATCATTGTTATCTACAAAAACAACAACAACAACAATAACAACAGCAACAACACTTCATTACTGCAACATTTATTGGCAATAAATAAATTTGCATTCAACTTTGCTGTAGGCGGAGAAAATTCACTGTTGGTAAAAGCTTTTAGACACACATACTCACATACATACATACACATAAAGAAATGTACATACATATGTACATACAGTACAGTACCGTTGATGAAGTTGGTGTCATTATTGAAAATTAACTAATAATTTTATATGCCAACTTTATAATGTTACAACAACAAAACAACTATATATTGTATAGTTTTTAAACACTTAGTTGTTGTTGTTGGCGTGTAAATGAAACTAACTTTATGCGAAAATGAGTTATAAAGTTAGTTGTTTATTTTCTTTGACCTTGACTGACATGCGGCACCGACACACGACACTTTACCCACCCCACACAATTGATTTAAAAGCTTCAGAACTTGGCTAGGCACACAAATTTTAACATACTCGTTTGTATGTATATATGTTGGAATACGAGGTGTGACAATTGAGACAATGAGACTGATGCCACAAAAACCATATATTTCAAATTTATTCTACAACTCAGCCATACCCTTCAAAGTAGTCCCTTTGGGCAGCTATACAGGCGCAGATTCCAGCGCA